CATAGGATAAAACATCGGATAGTGGAAAACGAACATAAGGTAATGTATTTGTATTCAATTGTGGTGTAGAGGTCAAATTTAAAGAACAGTGAAAATCATGTAAGTATTGTGGATGAGACCTGATGCGAGTGGAACGTCTTACACCTGGTGGGGATGGATTGCATTGAGGGTCCATTAGTGGAGCAGTAGGAATGATAGCAGCAGGTGCAAATATTGGACTATCATAAATGGGAAATTCAGGTAGTATGTTGGCAGTGGCACTGGCATCCAAATTATCCTTTATAAAAGGAAATTGATCTTCGTAAAAGACAACATGGCGAGATATAAAAATCTCATGAGAAGAGAGATCATAAAGGACATATCCTTTCATCCCATGTTGATAGCCAAGAAATGCACATTTTCTGGCTCTAGGTGAAAATTTTCCTCGGTGAGCAGTAATGGTGCTAGCATAACTAAGGCAACCAAATATCCGTAGGTGAAGAAGTGAAGGAAGTTTGTTGTGGAAAGTCAAATATGGTGAACTGTTACCCAATAGAGGGGTAGGAAGTCGATTTATCAAATGAGCTGCATGAATTATAGCAAAACTCCATAAATTCGATGGTAGATGAGAATGAAAATACAGAGATCGAGCCACATTTAGAAGATGCTGATGTTTACGTTCAACTTTGCCATTTTGTTGAGGTGTTTCTACACAACTCCTCTGATGTATTATTCCCTTTTTCTGATAAAATTCTAGCATAATGAACTCACTCCCATTGTCACTGCGAAGTACTTTCAGATTGGTTTCAAATTGAGTTTCTATATGCAAAATAAAATTTTGCAATTGTGGCCGTGCATCTGCCTTAGACTTTAGCAAGATAACCCAAAGAAATCTGGAAAAATCATCTACGAGGGTGAGAAAGAAACGATGTCCATGAACAGAAGGGATGCCATAGGGCCCCCATATATCAACATGAAGTAAATCAAATATCTTCTCAGTTTTAGTATCACTGGATACAAAAGGTAGTCTTCTTTGTTTAGAAATATGACAAGTATTACAAGGTTTTACATCAGCACAAGTAATAAAGGGAAAAACTAGAGACATTTGTCTTAAGGACTCATGAGACAAATGGCCTAAACGAAGATGCCACAGCTTTGCTTCAGTTATTTTGTTGACTGAAAATGCTGAGCATTTATTCAAAGTAGTAGAAGGTTGTAAGGTCTGAGAGTGGTGCTTGGTGTCAAGTAAGCACTGAGAGGTAGGCTTAGCATGAAGCACGTACAGGTTTCCTTCCAAATTAGATGTACCAATCATCTTCCTTGTACTGACCTGCTGTATCAGGCATGAAGACTTTGAAAAAGTTAGACAACAAGCAGAATTTTCAATAAGCTTGGAAATGGACACCAAATTAACTTTGAAGTCAGGAACATATAAAACATCTATGAGTTTTAGAGAATCTGATAGGATGACTGTTCCTGAGAGTGAAGCAGTGACACGAAGACCATTGGGCATCATAATCGAAATGGGAGAGATTTTACATAATGATCCAAAATTTGTAAGTGTGGAGCATATGTGATCTGTGGCTCCTGTATCAAGGATCCAACGAATATGATTGGTACCTGGAAGATGATTGACATCTGGTGAAGTCATGGAATTCAGTGCTGAGGTAGTGACACTGTGAGTCGAATGAAATGGCTCTTCTGCAGGTTCAGACTGAAGCTGAGTAGTTTGGAGGAGAGACATGAGTCTTTGGTATTGATTTTGGGATAAAGAAATCCCAAGTTTCATGTCATCATCAGGGACAGAAACTGAATTATCTGAATTAACATCTTGTTGAACAAGATTCACAGCATTTCTTGGTCTTGCACCAGTCTTGTAACCAGGGGGAAAACCGTGCAATTGATAGCACGTATCAATGGTGTGGTGCAATTTTCCACAATGTGTGCAGATCTTTGGACTTCTATTAGTTGGTGCATATCCTTGTGCAGTAGGACGCGATTTGCCTTTCTCAGGAATAAAAGGTTTCCTGGCATGTGATGTATTAAAGAAGGTATGTGATGTCAGAGAAGACTCACCTAGTATAGTCGGTTGGAATTGCCTCTCTTGTTGTACAACCAAGGATAAGGCTTTGCTAACATGTGGTAGCGGATCAATCATTATGATCTGGGATCTGACATGAGAATATTGCTCATTCAGTCCCTTCAAGAATCTAACAGTTTGATCTTGGTTTATGTGTGTTCTTATCAATTCAAGAAGACCACAGTTGCATGGATTTGCACAATTGCATTTCGGAAAAGGACGCAAGTTATCATATTCATCCCAAAGAATCTTTAGTTCAGTGAAGTAGTTGGTTACATTCAGCTCACCTTGCTGAAGTTTGTAGATGTCTTCTTGAATATCAGAAAGACGAAAAATGTCAAGTGACTAAAACGGTTCTTGAGATCAATCCAAACATCCGAAGCTCGATCCATCCAAAGAATGGATTTCTCGATGGAGCTGTTGATCGATCTGTGCAGCCAGGCAAGGACCATGGTATTGCAACGTTGCCATGGAAGAAACAGAGGATCTGTGATATCTGGTGGAGCAATGGTGCCATCGATAAAACCAAGCTTGTTCTTGGATAATATTGCCATGCTCATGGATCTTGCCCACGTATGGTAGTTCTTCTCATCTAACGGAGGTGTAACAAGAACAAGAGCAGGGTTTTCGTTTGAGTGAAGGAAGAAAGGATGACCAGGATTGGTAAGATATTCAGGTATTTGATTCGCCATTACAGAAAACAAGAAAGAAAGGCAATCAGTGAAGAAGAAGAAGAAAAGTGTAATCTGATACCATATTACAATTGAAAAACCTCTGAGAGGAAGATGAAACTGAAGGAATTGCTTAATGCCATTAGAAAACTGAGAAAAGTAAATTGTATCTTACAAAAAACTAACTATTCTACGTTAGTCTATATATATATATATACTACTGTATTCAGTTACAAATCAATAGTAACTGAAAATAACAATAATAACTAATAATCACGTGGGCTCCTCCGTAATAAAAGCTGAGGCAGTTACATCTGGATTCTTCCCTTCTCTAGCAGTGACACTGTGAGCTTCTCCATCATCGATTATATTCAACAGTAAGAGACACCAAACACTACGTAGTGCATGTCTCATTTGAGATCCTCATTTGTTATCTTCAGAAGAGGTTTACATTTTTTATCTCTGATCAGCTTCATACTGCAGATTAGTTTTATAGTTAATAAAAGAGTCAAAACTTGTGAGATACGCCTACTCACTTTAAAAAGATAATTAGAATATATTTTAAAAAACAAAACAAATACCTCCTTTGAAAAAATTTATTATTAATATAATATTTATAATTATATATAAATGAAATCAAATCAAACGATTAAACTAATGACCCGCGTGATAGATTAGCGACCCACACCCACTAACCCAATATAAGTGACTATAACATACCAGATGGGGAAGGCTTTATGTTATTTGGGAGAATCCCGAACGCATATATTCCATAAGGAGTCTAAAGGCTGGGCCAAAACAAAAAGACACGTCAAAATAAAATGAAAATTATACTTCGCTTCGTATAATTTGTAACGTTTTCTTACATTAATGATTATAAAACTCGGCTTCGCTAGTTACATATTCTTTCATTAATTATTATGAAATCAGTTATTTCAAAAGTTGAAGTTATGAAGTTAGAAATATGAATGATTTTAATATTATTTTGTGCTTTAATTAATGTCAACTTTTATTTAAAACAATTGAAATAATAAAAATTCAATTCTGAAAAACACATGATTTTGAAAACTCTAATAACTACTTATGAGTCAACTATAATAAAATTTTAAACTGATGAATAAATGTAAGGAATGGTCTAGTATCTCTAACATCAATTACTTAATATGTAATTATGTATGTGTACGTATTATTAAGTTTATTTGAGAATTTATAAAAAATTATTGTATTAATCAATAATTTCCATAAAATATATAAGAAGCATGTGATTGTTAGTATATATAAGTATCGCCATTCCTCATATACAACTATATAAGAAAAAAAAAACTTTCGTTGAGAAAATATTAAAATTATAGTCATGCGAGATTCTCTAAGATGCCGATTGAGGTGGCACCCACTCCCAACAGTCTGTCCTTTTTATTCTATTGGTATATTGAGTTTTATAATATCAACGAAGTTGAGAGTATAAATCTGTCACGCAAAGAAGAGGGAAAATAATGAAGCAACAGAAAGAAAATGAGTATGATCACATATTTATGTTATATATGATATTTAGTAAATGCCAAACAAATTATTTGCTTTTTTCTAACTGAGTGACTGCATTATGTTATATATGATCTGTTCTCTTCTCAACATAACATCTTCTCTATGATATCAAGCTGAATATAGAAGACCGCACAGGTGCAAAGAGCTTGCAAATTAAAGCAACTGGTTCAAGTATTAAACTTAATTAGACGCAAATATTTATTATCATAAATAGAAAATAATATCAAGCATCAAGAATGATTTTTCACTTTCCTAAATTGTTGGACACCAACTTAAAAGACATTTTCGTATTTGCTTTACCATGAAAGAAGGACTGGTTTTCGAAGGTTCCGCTAACACCCTGTAGGCTGTAGCTGTAATGTAAAGCCAAAAAATTTGGACGGCACACAAAGCATGAGCAATTGAGCATCACACACATTAATTCGTAAAGACAAAAAAGATTCATATCCAAACATATCGTTCTTATAATACGACGAAAACACAACGTTACAGCATGCACACAAGGATAACACCTCCACCGGGATATTCCCAACATAGTAGTTACATGCCCACAATATTACACAGCAACAAAAAAAGAAAAAGAAAAAAAAAGAAAGACAATCCATAGTCAAAACACAAAAACCAAACAGAGACAGTACTGTCTCACATCTTTGACACACACGGTCACGTGCACGGACATTTATTTAACAGTGACGGTAATGGTTGCACGTGATCAATTTTAATGTTATTTATATGGTAAGGATGAGACCCGGCACGGATTTTCCAACCCGGTCAGAGACGGTGCTTTCCCAGACGGAGGGGCAATGGAGGGACGGCGAGGTTTCTGCGGCGGCGGTGATATCGGAGGAGTCGGCGATGCGGGTGACGGTGAGGGAAGTGTTTAGGTACTCCCTGAGGTGGGTTATTACCCCATTTGTGACGGTCCAGGCGTGAACCCAAGAGATGGAAAGGGAGGTGTCGCAGCCTTCGACGAGGACGGTGGGGCCGAAGGAGGTGAGAGACTGAGGGACAAAGCGGAAGGAGGAGGAGTGGCCGGTGAGGAGGCGCATCAAAAACTGGTGAGAGGGGGGACCGTGGAACCACCAATCGAGGTGAGGGGCGAGAATGGTAACCACCGTGTCGGAGTCGAGGGAGCTTAGGGCATCATAAAGGGTGAGAACCAGCCTTTGGTTGCTGGAATCAGCGTCTTCGTGTTCCTGAGAGTTAGCCAGTTCGTGAAAGGTGAAAGGTGAAAGGGTAAGTAGGTGGGTTTATAATTATAGAGCATGCAAGTCGCGTTTTGTTGAGAGATGAACACACAAGTTGTTAATTAGGAGATGATGATGAGGGTTTGTGTTTTATAGGGAAGAGAAAGTAATGGCGTGCGAAGATGGGGCTCCCAATGCGACCTGCAACTGAGGAGACGACAAGAGACCTGACACTGCATACTTTTGTCATCTCATATCACCCAAAACTGATTGCTTACTATCACTTATGGTCACTTATGGCTTATGGTATTATTCACCGGGAGAGGAGAAGAATCCGTTTATAATTTTTTTTTACAAATTATATTAAATATGATCGATCATATATTCTTGATTGAAGTATGACGGGTCATACTAGTATAATTTGTAAGAGTTTATAAACAAAAAAGTTTGTAAATATAAAATTCTCTTCATTATATTTAGATCCGCTCTAATTAAAATTTTACATGATAATAGAAAATTTTGTGTTTTTTTTATTGACATTAAATAAATGAGATTGGTTAAAATTCATTGAGAGATAGATATAAAATTTTCATATGAGAAGGACATAAAATTTTAACCTTCAATGATCTATTTCCAGTGTATATATATGTACATAATCTCGGATAAGCATTTTTTTTAATTTTAATAACATTTCAAATATTAAATAGTAATAAATAAATAAAAGTTTGGCTTCAAAATTAGTTAAATATTTTAAAAGAAAATCATAACAATAATAATAATGTTTAGGATGAGTTTGGTATGAAAAACATATAAATGTCTATAATTAATTTTTTTTGCATAAAATTTATCCGCAATTTATCCTTAATTTTTATCACATAATATTGTTAAATTACTGGCTCAAATTAATGAATTGGCATTGAATTTGTTTGATCTAGGAGAGTGGAAACGCTTCAAATCCGAAACAAATCAATCGGATCAGTTAAAACTACATAAACCTTTTGATATGAAAAACAAAGTGTGTGATCTTGAAATCGTTTAATTTAAATTCAAGTTCTCTTCATATTATTTATTGTTATTGTTCTCTTCATTATTATTTTTTGTGTCCAAAAAATAAATAAATTTATCTTCATGTTATTTATTGTACTTTAGCCAGTTATTTTATTTTTAACGTCAATTTCCAGCTTCATTTATTTATGATAGACAATATTGTATTTTATGTCAATATTTGAAATACAAATTTAAATTTATGTGAAAAGTTAATGCTTTTGTTCAGCCGCCGTTTTCCTCCAGGATGTATTATTTCAATTTTAAAAACCTACCAAATTATTTGAAAGAATAAAAAGATATCTAACCAAAATAGTTGGTTCAAGTGGTAAACCTTTGATTCTGCCTAAACAAGATTTTGAGTAAATTTCTTCTGGAAAATCTAGCCTCACCAATGGATGTTCCGACTCAAACATGTAATTTTATCTTAAAAAAATTACTTAACGAAAAAGAACGACAAAGTTAAGCACTCTCCATTCTAAGTATGGCCTATATATGTAGGGCTATGGAAAAATTTAAGGTAATCCTCCCGTTAAAACATTGGGTTCGTCGTTTTTCCTTTTGCTGCTAATGATAAAAGTTGCAGCAAATTATTAACACTAGGATATGGGGTCGTATCCTAACCTAAAAAAAAAACACATTAGGATTCGGACGCATATCCTGATAAAAATAAGTATTGCTGTACTTTTTTCCATCTGTAGTGACAGAAGAAGTATATAACTCTAAAATATTTGTAGCATAATAGTATTTTTTTCTCTTTCTTCATATTCTTCTGTCTCTCCTCCGTCCTAATGATAATTCTCGAGGAGCACTTAAATAAGTCTCGTAGGTCTATAAAACACGTCAGTTCAGCTTGTTTATTAACCTGCATGTTAAATAGGGAGGGGAAAAAAATGTGTTGATATTTTACCAATTTGACTAAGGAAAATTTGCGAAACTAAATAGACTGCCTCACTTTTTTTTTTTGTTGAATTTTTTACTCTAAAAATTGTATTGGGTATTGCACTGTTCTTAAAAAAAGACAATCATTTTTTTTGGTAGTTAAAGACTAACATATTAACTTGTGAGTTACACGAGTTGGCTTATCTAACTAGCGTGTTAAATGGAGCAAATTGAAAATATAATGATTTAAACATATATATCAGTATGTTTTGATTTTCACCTACTTTATTTTAATAGGATAAATGCATAGTATGACCCATTTTGATGCCCTCGCCCTAAAGTAATGTGTCCACAAGAAGCTCACTAGCTTGGAGAGGGAGGGAATGGAAAACAGGAGGGGGACGAGAGCATATTGTTATTAGGAATTAAATTCCTTCACTCTCTGTAATAATCCCTCCACTATTTGATATACACTCAAAACTAATCAAAACAAAGAAGTGTGGAATGTGTATATATCATGGTATGGACGTATGGTTACGTTTTTTGGTTACTTATCTTAAGATAATGCATTTTTCTAAAATTTATTGCTTTCAGTTATAAACTTCCAATAAAATGGGGTTTAAAGTTTCTCAAGAGATAAAATTATTTTTTACATATATATAAAAATATGTTGATTTTTTATATATATATAAAAATATGTTGAACTTATATTTTCTTTTATTTCTGTTCACATGATTTTATATATGCTTTAGACACTTTTATATATATACTGTAAATAATTTTTTCTTTTACAATGTCAAAACATCATATCCATAAAAGCGGCTCAACTTTTAATATATTGAAGGCAAGGTAAGGTATACACGTTACATCATAAAAAAAAAAAACAAAAAGAAATTTCAGCCGCACAAAAATAAAAGTTTGAATGCAAATTTGTAGTTTTGATTATGGGTTTTATGATTATTATGTTACATAACCCAACTTGATTTTCCTACTCACACAATAAAAAAGAGAGAGAAAGTGAAATGATGAAAGAGAAGAAAAAAAATGTGGACCCCACCTCTTTGATGTATGTGTAGGAAAATAGAATTAGATTATGTCACATGATAAACATAAAACCCTTTGATTATACGTACCTATTGCTTCTTCAAATAAGAATTTTCCAAGTTAGGAGTTGACATTTTTTGTACTTGTGCTTGCGGCTAGATTACCAAGCCACCAATAAAAGGTTTAGCGTGAACGTGATAGTAAATAAACCACATTTATAAAAAAGAGAATCAAAACACAAACCTTTGAATAGGCACTTGTTTATAAGGTCTCTTAGGCAATAATCTGTTGCTACTTTGCCTGTAGAATTCGTCTCATTCCAAACTCCAGTGACCAGTCAAAAAAATATCAATTATATACCCAAATGATATCGTTTTATTTAAACTGACACAAAATTATATCCTTTAAATGATAAATACTTTTCCCTTAAATTATTAATTGGTGAATGAGAAGAGCAATATATCACTTGCTAGTCAAGATAACAAAACTACAGCGAATGAAGGACCCTTCCTCTTAGAGTTGGGCTCTAGGCAAGATGAAGTTTGTTTGTGTAATTACACACATAATTGCAAATAGAGAAGGGGAAAAAAAACATAAGACACAATTTATTTTAATTCATCCCAATATAGGGTTATTACATTTTGTAAATATGCATGTTATTATATTTTTCTGATCGCACTTGTTACAATACATTCATTCATAAGTGAATATAAATAGATTTAGAAAAATTCAAGTTGAATCAGTAGTTAGTCGTCAACCAAACCTCAAATTACATTAAATAAAAGAAATTATGAGAGAAATTCAAGACCACAACAGAATCAGATCTCAACGAGTATGTGGGCGCCGCCCCAGATAGGCAGATACCCCTGCCCCAGTTAACTTAATCTACGACAAGAACTGAAGATAATTTTAAGTTATACTCAATAGTTTGGTTTGCTTTTTGAAAACCTTAAAATCGTTATTCTAATAAAAGTTACAAACTTTCGCAAAGTTTAATAACATTTTGATATCATATATAGGAACCGAAGATACTACTAGCTAGGCCCCAACAGAATGAGACAAGATGGGAGTAAGAATGAGTCCAACAAGTGCAAAGCCAAGACCTGCACCACAACTCAGACCCTATTGAAAAGTCTTCATCAGTCAGCACCATACTGTACTCCTTTCTTTTTACCCTTTCCATGATTACGACCTTTTGACTCGATCCAGTGATACAAAATTGAAAAGTTTTCATTGTATTGATTTTAAAATCTAAATATTTTATCAAAATAATGTATTTAGACTTGTAAAGGGATTATGTGCATTTAAGACACGCAAAGAGGAATACGGGTGAAGGTGCATGCCATATGACAGATGCTGGCATGCTGCAAGTCACATATAGGAATGCATCCATTCAAGTCATACATGAGGGTGATATAAAACTTACAATGCAAGTCACGCGATAGGTTCGCATTTTTCTATGTACGAATTGCGCATGCTTTTTATATGCGTTTCATTATATTATTTTGAAAAAATATTTAAATTTTGAATCAATTGAATAAGAAATTTCTCATTTATATAAAATAGGTAAAAATAATCCATTATTACACCTATCATCATCACATGACTGTCTTTCAAAGTAGGGGTGACAAAATATGTTGGCAGGTCAAGTTTATGTTGTGTCAAGTTTGATCCGTTGGTCAATCAGTCCAATTCGAATATGATATATTTTTTTATTAGCGTGTCAAAAATTGAAACTCCAATATGACCCGTCACAGGTCGTGGGTCACCCGAGTTGACCTACAAAAATTGAAAATTTAATTTTTTTAAAAAATTTAAAATAAAAGTTAAAATTGAATAAAATACGCAGGTTAATCCGTGATCCGCAACAGGAAATGTCAAAATCACCAAAATTTCAAATTTTTTAATTTTTTTTGACAAATTTGTATTTTACTAGTTGACACAAGGATCAACTCACGACATGACATGCTACTAATTCATATAATTTACTCAAATCTGCACACGACCTATTTTATCGTACGGCTCGATATGACCTGTATTTTGACGTATTGTGTTGC